AATTCACCAGAGCTATAGATTTTTTTGTTGTTGTTTTTGTTTTGAGTTTTCCGGCATTAGTGGCTTGTTCTTTCGACAGTAGGCTGACAGGAAAGGTGGGATGAGAGAGTGGAAGAGACATGCGGGAAAGGTTCACAGATCGGGCTCGAACGCTGCACGCTAACCACTGCACCACCTGCACGCCCACCATAGCTACAGTTACACTGACAATCCATGCATGGCAGTTGCATGTTGGAATACATCGGGTAAAAGTGAATTTTTTCTATTTCACCTTTCTGATTCCTGATCCTCGTGAGGGAGGATTTGCTATCGAACTTCTGGCCAGAGAAAAAACACGTAATATGTAGCCAACATTTGGAAGAAGAATGTTTTCAAGATGACTTGGATAATAGTGACAAACACCAGATACAGCACTGGGACTTGATCAACAGCCGATACCGCGGCGTGACGCCACAAACCAGTAGGTGGCAGTAGTGTTCTTTGACAAACATGGATGCCTCCAGTAAAGCACATTCAAATTAATAACTCTTAATTAAAAAACACTGTAATGATTTCATATTGAAGTACTTTCAGGAATTTGAATTCTGAATATGAGCGGACTTTTCCTCTAAAGAAACTCTGTATAACATTTAGCCACCAGGGGGCACTAGACCTGTAACTGCAGGGTTTAGCGCCCTTGAAAGCCTCTGGTATGGCAGACAAATTCTGTCATAATTCAAAACAGACACAGAAACAAACTAGAAAAAAACCCACAGAAAGCGCAGATTTCAGCCAAACAGCATTTTCGCCTCATATTGTGACCAAGAGCTAAAAGACACACGTGATCTGGATCATTAACACATTTCAATGGATTGTTCCTTGGCATGAGGCACATCTTTGATTAAAAATATAATTAAAATAAGTTCATGACCTTTCAAGTTATCCTGTATTCATAGAGGGTTTTAAAACTACCACAGCGACCACAAAGAGTTGTACATCCCAAGGTGGGTTCAAACTGTATAAAAACAGCAGAAATGGTTAAAAGATTCAAACAGATAAAAAAAATAAATGAGTTAAAGCAAATAAAACTATACAAAAAAAGTAAAACAAAACAGTCTCGTGCTGTATTAAAAGCCAAAGAAGAAAATAAGATTTTAAGACAAGTTTCTAGTCACAAGATTGTCTACTGAGTAGCAGCAACTGAAAAAGATGTGTCCCCTCCAAGCTTCCGTCTGGACATCAGCGGGTCAGGTGACCAGAGTGGGAGCACAGGGATGGAGGTCTTGGCCTCGTCTCGGTCCTCCTTGGTCTCGGTTGATGTGGTCTCGTCTAAAAGACCATTAAATACTGGCTTCTGGAGGACAATGGCGTCTGTGGATGAGGATCCTTTGCTCGCCAGTGTCTGTGATGGTGCCATGCTTCAACAAATCATCAGGGTAAGCTTCTAGTGAACTGGAGCATCAGTGGTTGAATGAAATAGACAGTTTAAAATGATTCATACATGTTTAGCAAATTACCTTCTGACCTGAACTTTTTTTTTTTTTTTACTTCCATGAGGTTTAGACTCAGTGATAAATAAGAGCTTTTTTTTAGGTAACTCATATTTAATTCAATTCAGTTTATGTATATAGTGCCAATTCACAACACATGTTATCTCAAAGCAATTTACAGGGACAATTCAACCAGATCATCCAGTCAGATTGATTTAAAGTTTTCTATCTAAGGAAAATCAGTTGATTGCATCGAGTCTTTGACTCAAAGGAAATCCCACACACCAAACATGCCTATAGCGACAGTGGAGAAGAAAAACTCTCTTTTAACAGGAAGAAACCTCCATCAGAACCAGGCTCAGTGTGAGCGGCCATCTGCCGAGGCCGACTGGGGTTCAAGGAGACAGAAGCAGATATACAAAATGATGACATAGCAGGAATGAATAAAACAAGGACATGTTACTAAAAGTTATCTCAGATCTAGACAGCATGGCGTTAGAAAAATGTCAGCTCTTTCTACTCACAGCAACACAAATAAGGTTTCTGGAGCAAGAAATCACAGAATTAAGCATCAAACTGGACAGATTGGTGTTAAATCTCAACCAGAATATCTCCGACTATTCCACCTTTTATCCATGTTTTCTTCACATCTAACCCTTTTGCTCATCCTTAATTTTTCAATGACATGATTTTATGAACTGATTTAGGAAGAAAACAAGATCCTGTGTAGAGATTAATAGACTGAGAGTTTTTTTTGTTTTGTAGACGTGAAGGGAATACAGAGGAAGCAGGTGAATTAATGGAAGCTCCTAGATTTTTTCTCTTTTAATACAAAAAGTCAATCTCAACCAGTTGTATAAAAAAAAAATAAAACACAGATGCTGTGTTTCAATCCTTTTCCAGGCAAAATGAGGCATTCACCTTGAAAGCAGCCTGGCAGGGCAGTATAATGAAAAACATTCCACTGAGATGTGAAGGAGCTGTGGCTGGTGTGAGGGTCGGACACGTCCACAACACTTTGCATTTTCAAAACTTCCTCTCTCCAAACTCAGGGTTATGCTTCTAGCAGATTCCAAAGAAAACTTTAACAAAAAATAAAGCTTTTGGGCGATGCTATGATGTGGAGGTAGGGTGCGTGACCTATATACCGGCTGACCTTTGCCGAACGTCTCTCCCTTTCCTTGTAACCCACCTCCCTGTCTACCTACTTAAAAAAATAACAAAATAAAGGTCACTAGTGCCTAAAAAAAATAATCTTTATAAATGAGTAAAGCTTTTATGACCTGTTAGCATTCAGAGAGCTCGCTGCCTCTGAGGCCTGGTTCTGCATATGTGCTTGTAGAATAGAATAGAATAATAGAATAGAAAATCCCTTTTTTGTCCCACAATGGAAAATTCTTGTGTTTACAGCAGCAATAAGATTATAGAAAAAAATGGTCACACAAACGTGGACCTTAGAAACGTGTATAACATCACAATGAAGAGTTAAAAGATAAACACTAAAATACCTTAGTGTAAAGTGTTTAAACAATATAAAACTGGAGAATAAATAACCAATATCCAGCTATGGATATTTTTACAGGAACGGATATTTGAAAGTAGCAGCAACATCAGAGATGTGCAAAATGACAGCAGCATGTTATTTAACTGACTAAGATAGAAACTTTGCTAAATTAGCATGAATGTAACAACTTATTGAGGTTGTTGGGAACAGTGGTGGTTCTAGAGTCTTCCAGCTGCTGGGAGGAAGTATCTGTGACAACGCTCCCTGGTGCATTTAAGGTGCAGCAGTCTGTCACTGAAGGAGCTGTCCAGTTCAGCACCAGCTTCATGCATGGGGTGGGAGACATTATCCAACCAAGACGTTTATTTTAGTAAGAAGCTTATGAACCTACAAATTTACCTCAATCCCAAAACATGATTAGCCTTCATTTTCTACTCACCCCCATGCTGAACAACACTCTGGAATACTTTTTTGATATCTCAAATGCATCTGGAGATCTGGGAGGCTTCTTGCTGTCTGCTGACATTCAAATAATGGAGGTCTATGGTGCCCGAGGCAGAAAGGTCCATAAAAGTCCACAAAAAACGTGTCAATATTCCTCCATACTGCTCGTCCAATGTATTCCAAGTGTCCTGAGTGGGTAGCATCCAGAATTTACTTGAAACGAAGTCATTTAGAATGTTTTTAGAGCATAAACAGTAGTGTATAGGATTTCCTGAAAGCGCGCACCTGCGCGTTCACAACGCTACGGAAGCCGGCAGACCAAACCGGAAGAAAGTGCGCATTCAGCGTCTGCTCTGCCAATAATGCAAGCATAGAAGAAGAAATGTGCTGTTTACCTGTGCAAAGAAAGAAACAACGAAAGAAAAATTTCTGAGGACTTCAGTGTTGAGGAAGAGCATGAGTTCTTTGCCGAGCTGAATGCGCACTTTCATCTGGTTTGGTCTGCCGCGGTTTCCGTAGCGTCGTGAACACGCTTTCAGGAAATCCTATACACTACTGTTTATGCTCTAAAAACATTATAAATAACTTCGTTTCGAGTAAATTCTGGATGCTACCCACTCAGGACACTTGGAATACATTGGACGAGCAGTATGGAGGAATATTGACACGTTTTTTGTGGACTTTTATGGACCTTTCTGCCTCGGGCACCATAGACCTCCATTATTTGAATGTCAGCAGACAGCAAGAAGCCTCCCAGATCTCCAGATGCATTTGAGATATCAAAAAAGTACTCCAGAGTGTTGTTCAGCATGGGGGTGAGTAGAAAATGAAGGCTAATCATGTTTTGGGTGTACTATTCCTTTAAGCGAAAAATCAAACGCGCGTCTACACCAAGATGCGTTCGCTGCGAGTCAGAAAGCTATGGTGCATTCAGGAGCATTGGAACATTTTAAACTTACAAGAATGAGGCCTAAAACAGAACTGTATTTTACTGAACTGTATTGTATTTTTTTGTTTGTTTATGCACATTGCTAGCTGTTTATTCTAAAAAATCTATAATATTACAGCAGCAATTTATCAAGGTTTTTCAAAATCCTGTTTAAAAGCTCCAAATGGGGCTTCAGATCATATGAAGCGACAATTGCACTGTCATTGTTTTACAGGGCAGAATTTGCATTTGCTTATCCTTGTACTTAATTACTGATGAATATACAGGAATACGGACGTACTGTACAAGTGTCAACGCCCTCATTAAGGCCAGGTTTGTTTTCAAGATCTTTGGCTAACATTGATGAGTCATGTGATTTATAATTGCAATGAATAAAGTTTAAATTGAGGATCTGGAATTTATGTTGCAATATGTGTGAAGTTTAGCATCAAAGTGATTGCAACTTGCATGGCAGGTGATCCAAGCCAGTCTACAATTTTTTTAACAGAAAAAATAATTCTGTGTTTCATAAGCAGAACAATACACCAACAAAAATCAAGTTACTTGGCTTAGATGGAGGCAATTGTGCAACAGCCTTTTTCTGTTCAGCTTACAAGCAGTGAGCAAAAGCCTTTTGGAGATTAGCAGTGGTTCATCTGTCACATTGCATTAGAATATATTTTGTTCACTCTAGCACTTTCTGTGATACTGCATTAAAATAAGTTTCAAATTTAAAGACATTATGGTTGGAGTTTTTATCATTTTGAAAACTAAGTGAGGTTTACCTTGAGGCTGAAAACTGACCAAGTGGGAACTATTCTGAATGTTAAGTTTCATAGTTAAGGTTAAACTTGATTGTCAGTTCTGTCATTTCTACTGGTTTGTTCTTCATTCATTTGATCTCTGTTGCATTCTTAGGTCCACTGATTTATTTCCTATCAGCTACTGGAGCAGTGAGGTTAGACTTTATTCAGAGCCTTAATCTAATCTAAAAGCATAATTTCTCATTTTGTTCAGTGCTCAGAGCCAAAATTTTGTGCTTTTCCCCCTCTCCAATTTGCAGAAGATCTACTTATCAGACCCCCTTGAGGTTGTTGATCTGTACAAAGTGCAAAGACAACGGCTTCTGATTCTGCATCAGCATATCGAAGCAAGAGTTCAAAAGCTGAGGGACATCAAACAGGACGTGAAAGAAATGTGAGAAGCTGCCTTAAAATCTGAAATGAGGTTTTAGACAGATCAGTCTTAATTGTAAAGCAGTATTGTTATAACAGATGCAGGCGACACAAAGACGTATGGTGACATGTAAAATAAAGGCAAATTACAGACAAATGGCTAACATTACTGTTACATGATTGTTTTAAGGAAAGAGAAAGTTAGCCATCTGGAAGAGAATCTATCAATCCAAGAAAGCGACATAAAGCCCATGTTGGAAATGGAAGACAGGAGGGCTAATAAGTTCAGAAGAGGAGTTCAACGCAAAGAGACACAGAAGACAGAAACACAGGTAAAAAAGCACTGGCACAAATGATATTTTCCTTCTGCTTTTAACTCATTTAAATGTTTTAGATTATTCACCAAACTGTCAGACAAGGGAACCTGGAAAACTATAAACGGTGGTTTTCAACAACAACAAAAACGTAATCAGACATCTCTGCAAAATCATGAGTTCACTGTGAATAAATCGTAGCATCTTTTGCCAACATCACAAGCCACATGAAGGATTGATTACTGTGGGAGCTGTCAAAAAACAACAAAATATGCCCTGGTACAAAAAATTCAAGAACAGATGAAAAATAGAATTAATGGAATCTATTCATCCGAACAAGGTTGAAGAAGCCATTTTTAAAACTCTTTGAAGTCGAGCAGACCACAGGGATGTGTCAAACAGTGATTAATCTCTGGGAGCAGCCAATGAACAGAAAGTATCCCAAAATCGGTTCAATGACTCCTTCTGGAGATCGTTAAAAAAAACATAGTTAAGATCGATTGCCCACCAGGCCTCACTGGCCTCCATCAATGTTTACTTTTAATGATTCAATAATACAGAAGAGACAGGGTAAAAATTACATTCGATGATTCATGGAACCACGAGGAAAAAGGGTAACTTTCTGGATGGGTGATTTTGTTACATCCAACGTAAAACAAGCAGCTATTTTAATTAGGGGCATGTCCTTCATTCTGGCTGGTTGGCGTTCATCTGACCTTCTCCACCAATATCTACCTCCACTGAGGTCTCTCGGTGCTTTAAAATGTTCTTTTACATTTAGTAGTGCTATGTCGTGTGTTGTTAAAACAAGTTTGTATTATAAAACCGGACATTGTCGATAATCATTAAGAAATCAAGAATCAAGAACAGTTTGAGTAACTTGTTTATTAAATATGCAAATCTTATAGAAGGTGAAGAAAAACAGATTTAATATTAATATAATATAATAATACAATAGATAAGATAGCTCTGTTTGTTCATGTTTGACATGATCTGTTTGAATCATGTCTGTTCTGTAAGGAAATGGGATCTTTAAAATCTTGGACAAATGAATTGCAAGATGTATTTGCTCACATGTATGTGTGAAGAACAGAGGCTGGAACAAAATACAACCAAGACAGTTCAGTGACGTTAGAGCATAGTTTATTCAGCAGCGTGCTTTGTGAGCAGGGCTTGAGTCTGAGAGGAGCCAGCAGGCTGCAGACTGATAGGCAGACAGTTTATGAGGAGATTTCCTGGGTTTATGATCCAGAGGAAGGCAGACAGATTTGGAAATCGAGAGGTCCAGGAGCAGAACAGAAAGGATATCCAGACAGGCTGCCAGAGTCAGAACAGGATCAATTATGCTCAATATCAGAAACAGAACGGGGCAGTTAACAGACGGGCAAACAAGTAATTTAGATGACGCTGGATAAATCTTACCGGGGTTAGTACAAGATAATCTGGCCCTGACGTCTGGTGTTATGGTGATTATATAGTGATGGAACCAGGTGTAGCTGGTGAAAGCTGATTGAGGGACGGGCGGAGCTGAGCAGGTGTATGGAAGGAGTGATCAGCCCAGCATCAGTGCAGAGATCATTACAGTATGGGCATTGCACTGATGGCACAGTCATGTACGAATGGCACTTATGTAAATTCATAATAAATAAACAAATAAAACAAAATCAGTACTGGCTGAAATCAAAATCAACAGGTTTTTTTTTAGAGTTCTGATCTTCAAAAAAAAACAACTGCAATCGTTGTGAACATCATGGCAAAACTAAAACATGGAAATGGTAGTGTGATGGTCAGTTATTGTTTCACATAGGATCTGGTTTTTTAGGCATGTTAGCTTAAAAGCTTTTATATATTTACTTGGGTCATTGTCATCTAATAATGACATATGTTTGATCAAATGAAACATTATGTGTGCCAAAAAAAAAATGGAAATGTGCAACAGAGTACATATTTTTCACAGCTTTGTTTTCAATTGTCAAACCTTTTTAGATCCAAAATAACTCATATAATTCTGTTCTTCTCTACAGGATCCCATCTTTACGACTGTGGATAGGAGGGTGACAGAAATTTACTCCTGCTTCTTCAAAGAACAACCAATCTCTACACCACTCTACACTACTCGGGAAAAGCTCATAAGTGTTATAGAGCCTATCGTCGCTTTGATGAAGACCCTTGAAAACATCCCTGAAAAGGAACTTCAGCAAGAGCGAGGCGCCCTCATTAAGGCCAGGTTTGTTTTCAAGAGCTTTGGCTAACATTGATGAGTCATGTGAACATATAACATCTTCCTAAAGAATTCTCATTCATTCTTTAATCTATGTTTTTTTGAAAGGCTTGAGAGTTTTTAAAGAGATTTTATGAGATAGAACAAAAAAAAAAGTGAATAAGAAAGACTAAACATTTCTCACACTTATATCTCTGGAGACTATTCCACAATGCTAATTTGGTGTTAAATGCTGGAAAACCTAAGTTTGCACAATTTCCAATTCTGACTCCAGGGGCAAAGGATGATCTGCCTAAAAAGTAGCTTTCCAAGTCATCAATGTATTAATATGAACCATTGCCAGAAAAAAACGCCAAATTTTCAAACACCAAAGCTGTTTGATAAAGCTACTTGAACTGGAAGAGCTTAAAAAAGGAATAAAGGTAATAGAGTTAGTTACCTGGTATAGGTTGTCTTATTGGACTTATCATTCCAGAATACGTGAGCATAAACGTCAGCAGGAGATGGAGAGGGAGAAGGAGAAGCAGAGGAAGTGTAAACGAGCTCTAACAGTGAGACAGAAAATGGTAAGCCATTCTTAAATGTTTTAAACAGGCGTTCACACTGCTTTTACAATTTGTATTAGTATAATACTCGAGGTCTCTATATGTTATTTTTTTTTTGCTTTGTTTTTTTGTATAGTGTAATACACTTCCAATTTCAATATTCAATTGAATCAAAATTCAATATACATCAAGAGCTCATTTCCCTTCATTAGACGACCTTGTTGCTGGTATGAACTATCACTAAACCGCTCATGTTTTTATTTTATTTTACATGGCAATTAATAAACAACAAAAGATCACATATACATATATTATATATATATATATATATATATATATATATATATATATATATATATATATATATATATATATATATATATATATATATATATCTCCATTAAAACCATAGTTATATAATTTACTTAAATAAAATATTGTGCGCTGTGTGAAAAACAAACCTGCTGCATAGACCTGCATATATTTCGATTCATAAAATTTTTTCAAAAACCTTTTTAATAAAGTTAAATAATATCATATTCTTTTGAATCTTTAATCATTCTTTGGTAAATTACTTTGTCTAAAGGTTTTAAAAAACAAGTTAATAGGGAAATGGGGCGATAAATGTTGAAAGATCAATGATCACAAGATTTAAACAATGGGATAACTTTGGCAACCTTAAAATCAGCAGTAATACATCCAATTTTTACTGTCAATGTAAAGAGTTACATATATGGAGTCAGAACTTCTTTAATAAATGGAGCACTTATTTATCATTTATCATTAAACCAACAAGCAGTTCCATAAGGTTTACACAGAGTGAAGTCCCCATCCACAAATATTGAAGCGAATTTTACACAGGCCTTTTTCATTTTAAGTAACTGATTTCTAGTTCTACATAAAATCATTTGCAGATTAAGAAAACTGATCATTTTAAAGGTGCAGTAGGAGATCTTTTATAATGCATTTATACCATGTGGCTTGAAGATCTCCCCACAGTCACTTAGCAAGCAGTGAAATAGAAAGTCTGGAAGTGAAACTAAAAGAAATGGTCCCCGCTACAGTGAGAAATCAATGAATAACCTCAACCGATCACAAAAGACAGTCCGTTGTACACGATTGGTTCCATGACATGTCAATCATGGTTGTCTGCTTGTCCCACACCCCGTGCGCGTACCCTGACACGTGAACGGATCAAGCCCCAATGCTCATGCAGGACGCCATGGCTGGAAGTTAGCCATTGTTTTGAATGTCAGATCATTCTGGCTTAAACATGTATATAAATGTACTCTATTTCAGACTATTGTCGCAAAAGTTAGAACATTTCTATTAAAAGAAAAAAGTCCTGTCTTAAAATCCGTCTTTTTTTCCATTATTTTATGCAGGCCAGTTTTCACTTATGTAATTTTAGCCATTATGTTGCATCACATCAAAAACAACAAATTAGTAGCTTTCATAAATGTTTGAATGATTTCTGATAGGATGAGTAATGAGCTTTGCAAATCTCAGCTAAGACCCCCGTTTTTAGGTTTCTATCATGGTAGGAATAGATTTTTTTTTTGTCTGAAAGCTTTGTTGTAATCTTTGTTAACTGAAATGTTAGTGCCTCTAAGGTACTTCACTTTATCCAAAATAGCAGTTTTGTCCTTTTGAGCAAAGAAACTTAACCACAATTGGTCTTATATAGTTCTTCCATTAAAAGAAAAGAAAAATTTAAGCAAAACTAAAGAAAAACATGTGCATTGATGAATTTTCTTTTTTTTTCTTTTTAAAGCCTGGAAGAAAGCTTGTGGAAAGAAGTCGTCCTTTACCAAAGGTGGAAGTCAAGAAAGAGCCCTCTGATGTCCAATATACACCAGAGGGTTGGCTGTTTCATCACATTTTATCTAAATAAAATAACTCCCTGTTCAAAAACAAGCTTATCTTTCTACATACACACCAAATGTTTGTCCTGCATCCCAATATAAAGTGTTTCACTTTCCTCCCTCAATTTAAGAACAAATGTACTTATTTTAAGAAAAAACTTTACATTTAGATTGAAAGTTTTTATAGTGCAGCATTGGAAAGACCAGTGAACTTAGCTTTTATTGCAGGCAGAAATGTGTTGATCTTCATCAGAATCTTCCTCCTTAACCCTTTTTAGGACACTCAGTTAAATACTTTGAAAATCTAAATTTCAAGCCAAGAGTTTTATTGCAAGACGTTATTATCTTTGTAATAGTGATGGGTTAATGAGGGAGCTTGAATCGTTTTGACACAATGCCAAACTGTATTGAAATGTGTTGATCTTCATCTGAAATTAAATCAGTTTTCCAGCTCTCAGCCGTTCCACTGCATAAGTCACTCCTGTTTCTCCCTCTAGAGTCCTTTGAATAACAGAGGTTTTTTGAAAAACAAAAAAAAGAAATGTTAATATGGGCACGCTCAAACTCCTGTAAATCAGAAACCACAATTATTTCAGAGCTGTAATTTGCCATTTAATCTATAGAGATATAAATAATTATGTATGTAAAATTTCAGCTAGATCAAAGAACTGGAAGTGTGTGAGGGGCTTTGCTTATTGAACGCCTCTGATATCCAGGTTTTCTGTTAGAAAACAGCTAAGCAGAAACATTGTTTAAATAGATTTAATTAATTAAATTCAGATCCAAAATGATCTTTTTTCTCTAAATTACCATAAATGTATTTATTTTTTCTCAGTGATGTAAACTCAGATACGGAAGCCCAGAGCGGTCTTGTCCCTCTGATACTTTTTCACGGTGGTTTTCACTTTCGTCTGGTTTGGTCTGCTGCGGTTTCCGTAGACTCGTGAACGCGCTTTTAGGAAATCCTATACACTACTGTTTATGCTCTAAAAACATTCTAAATGACTTAGTTTCGTGTAAATTATGGACGCTACCCACTCAGGACACTTGGAATACATTGGACGAGCAGTATGGAGGAATATTGACACGTTTTTTGTGGACTTTTATGGACCTTTCTGCCTCGGGCGCCACAGACCTCCATTATTTGAATGTCAGCAGACAGCAAGAAGCCTCCCAGATCTCCAGATGCATTTGAGATATCAAAAAAGTACTCCAGAGTGTTGTTTAGCATGGGGGTGAGTAGAAAATGAAGGCTAATCATGTTTTGGGTGTACTATTCCTTTAAAAACATGAAAAGGGCACTAAAATACAGGCTAATGTTCCTTTCCCCAGATGTTGGTTCATTGGGGCCTCCAGGCGTTCGGCCCCAGATTGTTTCGAAATACGCACCACAGTCTGGAGGAGCTCTGGAGGCGGTTCAGTGGAGCATTAGCCTGATGTCTTTTACAAAAGATGTTTCAGTAATTACACAGATGGAGAGGGGTTCTAGTGATCCTTTAGACTATCTGGATGTATACAGCCCACGGGCGTTCTATAGATCTGGGCTCGGTAGATTCTGATGGTCTAACGTCATCTAAAGTTTTTCTAATTCATACATTTTTTAATCATTGTCCATTTTTTAATCATTTGTAAACAAAAAACACCACATTGACCACACTCTGTTATGTCGAACACTCTCTGGTTTGTAAAGAGGATGATGGAGTCCATCAGCATGTTCCAGTTGTGGCTCGTTCACCTTTGCAACCTTAGTTTTGATTAAAAGCTCAGCCTCACCTGATCGAAGTAGTTGATTCCAGTTTAAATACCAGTACAATAAACTGGCCCCTAATGGTGGATTTGGTGATGCCCTCCGTTTGCTGCAGCTCTCTCTCTCTGATCTGTGGGGAGTTTTAATTGCGTCCTTTATCATCCTGCTGCCTTTACAGAGATAAATGAGTTGCCGTCCTGCTTGGTGTTCAGTTACCCAAGGAAGCAGACTTCTATACCAGCAGCAACAGAACGTCATCAGGGATTACTACTTAGACGCTCTGATTAATCAAAAACACTAAAGTAGAGATAATTAAAACAGCCAAGAAATGATAAAGGGAAACTTCAATTCTTCCACATTTTTCTTAAAACTGGATTATTTATCTTCCATGGAATAAACTTTCAGTGCTCTGCCTGCTATCCATGAGTTGCTCTGACTTTTCCTATTTTCCCCTTAAACTCTCACAGCTTAAGTTTCTGTTTGGCATATTTTTTCATTTAAAAGACTCATTTCCTGACCTATCTCTATAGTCATGCTGCTACAGGCTTAGACTGCTGGAGGACATAGGGATCAGTTTTTCCTTAATTCTCTTTTCTCCCACTCTGCAGAATCTATTAGTTCAATCTCTAACATTCTGCTCTCTCTGCTTTTTCTCATCGTAGCTTCATCTGTTCTGTTCCTGTTTGGCTGTGACTCCATCCTGGAGAGGAATATCAGCTGTGCTGCTGCCATCAACACCTTTGTATAAAGATGTTTGAGCTTGGCCTGTTTTTCAGTGTAGTCCTGTTTCTCTGACTGAGACTGGCTGGATGTGCTCTCTTGAGATGACATGCGTCATGAATTGACGCCATATAAATAAACTGAATTGAACTTGTAATAAACATTTAAACTGCAGTCGTTTCACAATCTTTATTAGCAAAAGATACAATGGCAAAGTAAAATAACACTTTGTGGGATGTTCAAAAATAAATACAAACAAAGCAAGTGTCACATTACAGTCTGAGAAGCTTTCCTGTTGACTGTTACAAAATTTGATACGGGCGTAAAAATATATGGTTCAGAGCAGATATGGCCTTTGGTTCAAACGCACACATCTCTCTTAAAAAGTTGATCATAAATGATGACAAAAGCTATTTGAAAACATTTAACAAACAATCTATGAAAATATTTTACAATTTGCAGAAATGTCAGTTCTTGGGGTTAAAAATATAAGCATTTAAGTTCTGGTGAGTAATCAAACATTGAGGCAGTGTTATGTACTTAGGCCCTGATCTACTGAGACTATTTATCCTAACAGATTGACAGAGGGGGATTATTTGGTGACTGGAAGTCAGCCGAAACATAGAACAGCACTGCGCACAGATGGCAGGTATGATGGCAATGTGGAGAGGAAACAGGCAGAGGACTTTAGCCCCTTTAAACAATATATTATTCACCACAACTACTTATGTGGGTGGAACACAAATTAGTGCCATTGCCACTGAAATTAGTCCCAGTAAATTACAGTCAGTAAATTTAACACTTAACCTGGCGATGGTGGAACGGATGTACCGACTGCTGCTATCGGCTTAGACTGCTGGTGGATATAGGGACCCCTTTTCATTATTCTGCTTCAATCTATCTCTATTCTCCCATTCTGCAGAATCTGTTAGTTCAAACTCTAATGTTATGCTTATGGAGAACGCAGAAGTATGCATGAGAAATGGCCAATGATTGGATGCAATCAGCTTGAAACAGACAGTATGAATTGTTTCTGGAAAGTGACCTTAGATGACGTGCGTTGTGAATGGGTGCTATAGAAACACATTTTTATTGATACTGTCAAAGAATTCCAGTGGGAAAATACATCTGTCAAACAGCTGATTAGCAATAACTATAGCTTCTAGACTGGAGGTTCCTACAGCCAAAGAGCAGCCATTACCTTGTCATATATAACAGGGCCTTGGGTTAGTTTACATGGACATGAATTATCTCTCCTGTGTACAACTTACTAATGCCTCCTTCTGACCACGCCTGCAGACCTTTATGTATTCTACTTGCACGCATCCTTCAAACAATTCCAGATGCAGTTCTGGCGGCGACTGTTTAGTGGATCACATTTTCCTGTGCAGTCAATTTAGCCCCGTTTTATAGACAGACCTTTAGTATGCTGGTGAAGATTCTCAGTCATCCAGGTCATAGACATTCCAAAAAAAAACAATCCACTGGACTTTGTTTCCAAGTTTGAAGACGTTTTCTTTTCCATCCAGGAAGCTTTTTTAATTCAAAATTTCAGGAATAGTGTGGAGTTTGAGGCTGTTATATAGCAGCCCATCAAAATCTTTTTTAGTTTAGAAAACATGCAAATTGGAACTGACAAACGGGTCCACTCCTTTGGAATGGGGGTCGTTTGGGTTCCTTTGTTAGCCTGCAATGCCCCATACCTGTCTATGTCTCTGAAAGGTTTTTTTTAAAGGGAACTGTTGGCCTGGCTGAATAGGCGAGGTTTTCTGTTCACCTGTGAAGAGGTATGGGCAGTGAAACGTCTTCAAACTCGGCAACAAAGCCCAGTTGATTGTTTTTTAACTTTTTTGGAAAACCTTCAGTAGATCAGGACCTTAGAGTGCTGCGTTAACTACCCTGAAAGAAGACATAAGGGCTGCTGAGGATCAGGGACATTCAAAGCTTTCAGAATAAAATGAAAATTCTAATTCTTTAAACAAATTCTTTAGCAAAAAAAAAAAAAAAAAACTAAACAAAAAACAGAAAAAATCCAAAACAGGCAAGAGGTCACTGATTTTTAACAAAAATATGGCACAGAAGAAAGGCCATGTGGTTGTTGTGCTGAGCGGAGCTTATGGGGAGAAAAATAACGGAAAGAATACCCAAGTGCTCAAACGCACCAAATATACAACACATTATCAATAAATATATATCTATGATAGTAGAAGTGTCAGTTATTCATGTTTGCAATCGGTGTGCTAGCAACGCAACGAGCTTCAGTTAGAAAAACCTTTCAAAGCATTGCTCCGAGGAGTGGGGTCTAGCAGATAACGGAGACGGGTTTAATAAGGAATAAAACCAGTTAAACTGAGCTACGCTCTACTTTTGGACACATCCTTTCAGATGTGTAGACTTTTCATGATGGGTGGAAGGATACAATGGCAAAAAAGGATAATGGGCAACAGATTCAACAAATGCTGGATTTTCTGCTTCTATTCAAGGGTTTACCCAGATGGTCTAAACCCTGAGGGCTCCCTGACCGCAGCGAACTGCTAGTTCAGCTGATCCAGGGGTTATTTTTAGCTCTGATGAAGATGATGGGTTGTAGACGTTCAGGTGGGACCTGATGTGAGGACTTAAGGGCAGATTAGACTTCTGCAACCGCACACATCAAATGTCGCATGGGTCTGGTCGCGAACCAGTTTTGCTGGTATGCTTCTGCACCACCTGTCTGAAAATTCTAAGGACGCACGGCAGTTTCCCGCCAAAGTGCAAGGGGAAGCCTATCGGAGAACTCAGGAAAACTTCAACGGATGGTATTTCCGAACCTCCTCGATCAACCTTTCGCCGTAGTTGTCCATTGTAATGGCACGCCCCCTGGCACCGAATGGAGAAGGACGACCACACAGACAGCCAGAAAGGTATATCAAAGACCAATCACAGCTGCTTTTCGTCTGCTCAGGTTTGCCACCGTCCGACGCGTAGTCAGGATTTTTTGAGGTGCACAACGACGGTTGCAGAACTTCTGCGCAGGGGTGGGGCGTGGTCGCGCACAGCGACAGATTTGACGGTTGCAGAGGCTATGCGTCAGAAGCATAAATTGGTCTTTAGTTGAGTTTACAGGCAATTTATGTTTAGAGAATAATCACATTCCAGAGTTTAACCCTCCTTATTCATGTAAAAAATCGATACTGTAAATCATTATAAACTAAAGTACAGGTTGGAGGTTCTGGTTAACTTCATGGACTCAAGACTCCAGCTGAAAGTCTTGGTTCTGTCCAGTGAAGTGCTGAACCTGAACTTCCTGAGCTGAACCCGAATGGAACCGATTTAAACCTAATCAAACTGGTGTTATAAGCTTATTGCAAAGAATCTAAATGTTTTTCATTTCAAGGAGGAGTAAAGTTCAGTTCTGTGGCCTCCTGATTGGTTCAGAGAGGCGAGCTCCACCGGACCACACAGAACCTTTATCCTGGACGCTGGTGTTAGTGAGAACATGTAAGCTGATGTATGATGTACGCAATATGATGGAAAGATTTGTGGATCAGAAACTGTTTTCTACTTTGAACTTGTCAGAAAAAAACAGGCCTATTAAACAATAAATGGCTGCTGTGACGCCACACTTTGGTTGCTGAATGTGAAACTTCAACGCAGATGGTGTGTTTGGATCCAGCGACTGCGTCCTCAGAAGGTCAGATTACGTCATTACGCGGCACCGAGGTCTATTCGGATTGGAATACTCCTCGTTATGCGGCCGACAAATGAATCCTTCTTTTTGCCCGTTTTGAAGGACAGGTCTGCTGTATTCTATGTAGCCTTGGTTTTGCCAGGATTCATTGCGAGTCCAAAGAAGCCGGCTGCTCCGTGATCAGAGGAAAAAGGCACTTGGTGCCAAACAGTGGTGAATATTGGAAGTTCAGTTTAATATTAGACATGTGAATAGTTCCATCTAAGATGAATGAAAATAGTTGTTTTAAATGGTTATTGAGTCAGACGTGTGGCGGATAATGTTGTTTTATTGAAAGGTTTTATCTGTGCCTGTGTCAATGGGTTTGGCTGATATTTAAGCTCAGATTCTAATATCTCTGCAGTGTGGAGACTATAAATCTGATATCTGAGACGACGGTACTGCTGCTGCAGTTCGCTATCCATTCTTTGCCTGCTTTCTGTGTAAACTGTCACGGTTGCTAGGCGACAGAGCGTACGCTGAGGCCGTTTCTCAATTCACAAGAACAGTGAGTATGGACTTGTGTCCTCTCCAAGTACGTTCTTGAGAAGAACACAGGAAAGTGTGGACTCTGGGAGAACGGGAGCACGCAGCATAAATATGGGTCAACTGGGACAGAAGCGTACTGATTAGGGCTGCAACAACGAATCGATAAAATCGATACAAATCGACTTTTAAAAGCGTTGGCAACGAATTTCATCGTCGATTAGTTGTGTCGCGCGATTATTGCGTCATCCGCCGCGCCGTCATCACTGCCTCTTGACTGAAAGAGGAAGAAAAAAAAATATGGCAGAGCGAGTCAGCGCCGCAGGTGCAGTGTTACCAACTCAGCGACTTTTCAGACCCATCCAGCGACTATTTTTCAAAAAAGCGACTAGCGACAAATCTGGCGACTTTTTTCGGTGTCACTGACGGCTTTTGGAGACTCTTACGTGAAAGCATGTATCGTTCCTACTCTGCCGTGGGGCGCCTCCCCCACCCCAACCGCGTTTTCCCGCAGGAGTCCCTCTCAGCGCTGCAGTCAGAGCCTCAGCGTCCAGACTGCAAATGAAGCGGGCATGCGCCGGGATTGACGGCGCAAATTGATCACAATAATTAAAATAGCCTGCGCTTTGTAAAGCGAAAAAAGTCGTAACATGCAACTTTTTTCAAAAGAAATTAACATGGCACGGAACCACCATGTTTGTTTGGTTTTAAAGTGGGGAAACGTTACGTTAGTTTCTCAGGTAGCTCATCTGATGCTTTCCTCAACGTGTTAGTAGGTTACAGACAGTGATAAGGTTGGCTACTTATTTTACCTTTAATTTCATTTGAATTAGCTTAAGCAGCGTTTACATTTACTTTATAAATAAATTAACTTGCAAATTATGAGGGCAAGGCTTTTAAAGTTTAAATCTTCTGGCAAAGATAAAGTAAAGAATATCCTGCAATTTATGGAAGTAAAGCAGAATAAAATCCAGCAAGATCAGTAATATGTCAATTAATTATCTGCCACATTCCCATGTAAATATCTGTCTTTGGAGGATGTGTTTTTTAGCTCCCCTAGTTCTCTCATTTTTATTCCAAATACAATTTATAATTTGAATCACAGGGCTATTTTTATCTCTATGGTTCAGTATTTTCTCAAGTAGCAACTTTAACTGCTATACTTTCCTGTCTTAAAAGGCAGAACTCTTCTATTCTAAAAAACCTCATTTGTTGAAATGGGGGGGCCTGTTGTTTGAACCCCTTAGGGGCTTTTAAAAACAAAAATGTCTTTTTTTGCGCTTTATGAAACAAAGTAGCGTATATTTTGTGGATGTACAGCTACATTTCTCATGTAAGTTTGCGTAGTTTTAACACAAACATTTATTTTTCATATAGCACCAGTACAGTTAATGAGCAACCTGTACTTGTGTGTTTGTTTGTTCTGTCTAAAATGTTTATTTTGGAATAAAGAGGTTAATATAAAAAATATTTTTTGTCCGATTCATCGATTTTTAAAATAATCGTTAGTTGCAGCCCTAGTACTGATGTCACCACACGCCCTGCTAGTCTGGAGCTACATTTCACCTCCTGTTATTATTAGTCTCTGTTATTTTATATTCTCAAATCGCACTGCGGGACCTTTTGCTGCACCTTGATGTGAGTCAACCCCCGACTTTGCATGAAAACTAGCTGCTTCTGCTGCTTGCAGTCTGAACGTAGCAGAAGAGCTCATAGTCCCACATTCGGTCTGCTGGATTTTACACTTGGTAAAGCCGAACACAGTTCAAGCAAAGCATCATGGGTAACACGAATAAGGTGGGAAAACACTGAGAAAGGCGTGATTTCAAAGTGTTTAGCTCCTAAATGCTGCGGTTAGAAGGTTTGAACTTAAAATACAAATAATATTAAACTACAAACAAATCAGAAACGGTGTGTGTGTGTGTGTGTGTGTGTGGGGGGGGGAGGATTATAAAAATACATTCAAACTTTAGCTTTAAAAAGGATCATAGCACCACAAACGTGATACAAACGTGTTCCTACTGTACAAACTTGGCACCAGCAGATGAAACATCGGCTCTAAAATAAACCAAAAAAAAAAAACTTCCCTTTGTTTAATCTTTCCGTTCATCAACAGCCGTTTCAAGTTAAACCTCAGTCATTACTTATTACTGTTAGAAAACGTCATTCCTCCATTTCCTCCTTTTTTCTTTTTAAAGAAGCCACTTTATAAACCATGCATCAAGTAAAACGACGTTACTTTGACTAAAATAAAGAAAAGAAGAAGTCTTGTCTTCCGGCAGCTAAAGGACATACAAACAAATGGATTCCTTCAGTTCAAACGGAAATCGGATCCTTTAGGCACAGATGGAGGTTTACTGGTGACCAAATAAAACCTTAAATATGGTCGGATGAAACAACTTCAACACTACAGTAGGAATATAAGAGCTGCCATCTTATAAAGTGGATGAAATCAGGGAGGAAATGTTTAAATCTTTTCAGCCTCTGCAGGCAGGCTGGGGCTTATTGATGGGTAAGCTTATTACTGTTCATACTTGGAGCAAAGCTTCCTAAAAATGAAATGATTTGACATAAATATTAACGGATTAAAATAACTTTCCTCTGAAGAACCGTTTCCTACTTTTCCTGAAGCTGTGCTGTTTGTGAGGCACAGCAGAGAATCTGCGCCCTCTAGAGGCTGGCCTGAGCCTCTGCTTCCTGCTGGTGCTGCTCCTTGTTGAGGATGATGCTGATGATGTCGCCCTCGTGCTCCTTCATGTGCTCCATCAGCCTCTCTTTGCTGGTGGACTCAAAGCCACAGATACAGCAGCAGAAGAGCAGCACGCAGTACTCCATGGTGGGGAGCTGTTCTGTCCGCACGTGCGATGGCGTGGTGTCCTTCCCCTCGGTGGGACACGGTGAGGAGTCTGTGGGGAGACCTGCCGGGTTTCCTGCAGGCGGCGAGGCTTTTGCTGCCGACGCCTGTGCAGGGAGAGGATCCACCTGGGTCTCAGCTTTCTCCTTAGAGTCCGGCGCCACCGCTGCACACTCTGACCCCGCCTCCAGGAGTCCAGACAACCTCTGAGACGTTCTGAAGGAACAAATGACAACGTCAAGGACTAACAGACGATAAGCAACGGGCTTTAACTAAAACCCCGATATTTTTTTTTCTCTCTCTCTCTCTCTATATATATATATTAGGGTTGGAACCGTTTGGTTCGACTGTCTCATGTTGCGTTCGGTTCATGCACTGCTCCTTTTCCTCATAGGCAAAGCATTTACACTCCAGAGCAGAAGGTACTGCGACCAAAGCCTATCACCAGTAGTAAACAAGAAGAAGAAGCGAAGCAGCGTAGCCGGGTGTAGCAGAAAAAATCAGTTGTTGTGGAGAATTGTGTGGGTATGGCGAGTGAGGAAAGAACAGGAGTTGGAAGACACGCCAGCAGCACTTTATAGGTCTTCTGTATGGGACCACTTTGCATTTAGAGTGACCTACGATGACGGCTGAAAGACAGTTGTGGATAAAAGTGCAACAGTGTGCAAGCATTGTGCAACACGTTTTGTTTATGCTAACAGCAGCATGACCAACATGTCCGGCTAACAAACAACATAAACCGAACCAAACCAAAAACCATGACCACGAAACCATGAAACGAACCGTAGATTTTGTGAACCGTTCCACCCCTAATATCTATCTATCTAATCTATCTAGCCATACCAGGGGGGTGTGGGTGCAAAAATATAAATATAAAAAACATAACCGTGGATGTCTGGGGAACAGTGATTCGCCTACATATTATGAATGCTGGCGTACCATAAAGAATAAATTGTGAACAGTTTAGTTTGTGCCTTCAAGTCGTTGCCCATAGGAAGACGTTACTTGGATATAACCTAACAGAATATCTTCAGAATGGCTCTAAATGACACAAAACTCATATAGGTGAGTAGAACATGATGGAATAACTTAAAAGCAAGGACCAATGTAAAAAAAACTGTGTTTCCCTTTTAAATTTCACTTTTGAAACTCCAATACCAAAAACGGCCAGAAGGTGGCACCAGTGCATCCATACCGACCACTTTCTATTGATAGAAAGTGGTTCCTGGAGCACAGCATGCAGAAGCCAGTGCTTGGTTCACCTAACTTCCTGCTCCAGCTGCTAAACGGCTCGCCATCTCGCCCTGTCTCCTACAGCCACGCCCAGCGCCATGTATTTTTCAGACCTTTATCTATGGACATGACATCTTCCCCAGAGTTCATGGACTGCATTGTTGCCACTCCATGTGATTCTGTTCTCTCTGTCGTCCTTCTCTCCAAACACTAAGTTTCATTTCTTTATTTTTTGACTTTATAAATGTCTCTCCATTGAATACAGCGGTAAACGGCAAAAGGTGACTTTCCGTGAAGAAGCAAGAGACGAGAGGAGGAGATACACACTTTCATAAGACCCGCCCCCTTCTTCTTCTGATTGGCTAATACTGTTCGTTTCAGAGCGCTCCTTTGCTACCATTGGCTGACAAATGCAAGACGGATTTCGATTGACTTTTTAAAAATTTATTTACCGTCAATTTATTTCTGAGTGATTTTCGCTATGAGCTGGAATACTTTAATCCCTTTAAATGTGATCTGATGGGATTAATGACACTTTCTGAATCCTCCTCATCTTCTACAGAGAAAAGTAGATCTCTGCTCTCTGGTTTAATTTACTTTTTAGCTTTTCTGCTGGCGATCTTCTGTCTGCTGCTAAGTTTGGTGCCACCTAGAGGCCGCATGTGGACGTCCACAGTGACTCCTGGCTGCTCCTGATGAGCTGCTGCAGGTCAGGGTTCTGCTAAAGAACGTCCCACCAGAGACCCGTCCTCCATCTTAATCTGTGTGGTTCTTACCGGCTGCTCTGGGAGATGGCCTCGTTGATGGCTCTGTTAACCTGCTCGTAGTTGTAGTTCTGGTCTCCGGCGTGTTTCCACATGTGGGATTTCAGTGACGGGGGATGACTGCACACATAACCGCACAGGGAGCACCTGGCAGGGAGAAGAAGGAAAGAGGGAGATGATTTCAGCCCAGGTTCTGCTAATCCTCCTCCTGTCGTCAGGAGGAATCAGCCCGACTCAGCGTCCACACTGAGACGCTGAGCTTCACAGACAACCGGCGTGGAGGGGATTAACAGCAAACACTGGAGTCATTTGTCAGGTTTTAGGGAATTATGGGTAATAAGCTGCATTTAAACCTTTGAAGCTGCAGAAAGGAACAGATGGAAGTCAGGAGATCCTCCTATTAACACTTTATAGGGCGCTCAGTGAAATACGCTGAAAATCCAAATTTCAAACCAGTAGTCTTATGGGGATCAAACACCTTATTACTTTTATAACAAACACCACCGAATATATTAAGAAAAATAAAAAGTGCTTCTATAAGAGATTCATGAAAAAAAGAGTTAAAAAAAGACATTGTCCAACATAACCTTAGAGGCATTAATGCTGATACTGTCACTTACCGGTTTTAGTTTATAAACCTAAATATAATTGTTAAATAGGCTTTTTAACTTTTTTTCTTGACTTAACTTTTTTTTCCATTCAAGGGCTCATCTAATTGGTCAAATGCCAAAATAAGATGTACAGCCATGTAGCAGAAGCTTTGCTGAAAGCTGGATATAGATCTTGTGCTTCTAGAGCTCACTGAGGGACTCCATTTGTAGGAGGGATGCAAGTGATCAAAAACACTAACTTGCCCTTTTAAGGGTTAAACTGATGCTCTGGTTCTGAAGCTCCTATTATATCAAACATTCCTCTTATTCTTCATGTTTCTCTTCATCTTTGAACATTAGAAACATTATAATCTCTGCTGAGGCGCTGCTCTGGATGTTGATTGACAGCAGCTCTGCTTTCACTACATTAAAGTGAAATATTTATTTGAAACTTTTCATAAAGGGACTGGGTCTCATGGGGATATGGCTTCTCACTGCAGGACGTCTGTTCAGCCTCTGACAGTCGGAGGGTCTGTGCAACGAAGGCTCCAGGTGTTTCTACCTAAAGCTGATGCAGTACTCCCAGACAACACAGGGGGCAGTGCAGCACATACAGGTGCTGGTCATAAAATTAGAATATCATGAAAAAGTAGATTGATTTCAGTAATTCCATTTAAAAAGTGAAACTTGTATATTATATTCATACATTACATACAAACTCATATATTTCAGATGTTTATTTTGTTTAATTTTGATGATTACAAATGACAACAAATGAAAATCTCAAATTCATCATATCAGAAAATTAGAATATTACTGAAGACCAATAAAAACAAAGGATTTATAGAAATGTTGGCCAACTGAAAAGTATGAACATGAAAAGTATGAGCATGTACAGCACTCAGTATTTAGTTGGGCCTCCTTTGGCCTGTATTACTGCCGCAATGCGGCGTGGCATGGAGTCGATCAGTCTGTGGCACTGCTCAGGTGTTATGATAGCCCAGGTTGCTCTAATAGTGGCTTTTAGCTCTTCTGAATTGTTGGGTCTGGTGTATTGCATCTTCTTCTTCACAATACCCCATAGATTTTCTATGGGGTTAAGGTCAGGAGAGTTTGCTGGCCAATTAAGAACAGGGATACCATGGTCCTTCAACCAGGTACTGGTAGCTTTGGCACTGTGTGCAGGTGCCAAGTCCTGTTGGAAAATGAAATCTGCATCTCCAAAAAGTTGGTCAGCTGCAGGAAGCATGAAGTGCTCTAAAACTTCCTGGTATGTGGCTGCGTTGACCCTGGACCTCAGAAAACACAATGGACCAACACCAGCAGATGACATGGCACCCCAAACCATCACTGACTGTGGAAACTTTACACTGGACTTCAAGCAACGTGGATGAAGTGCCTCTCTTCTTTTCCTCCAGACTCTGGGACCTTGATTTCCAAAGGAAATGCAAAATTTACTTTCATCAGAGAACATGACTTTGGACCACTCACCAGCAGTCCAGTCCTGTTTCTCTTTAGACGCTTCTGACGCTGTCTGTGGTTCAAGAGTGGCTTGACACAAGGAATGCGACAGCAGAAACCCATGTCTTTCATACGTCTGTGTGTGGTGGTTCTTGAAGCACTCACTCCAGCTGCAGTCCACTCTTTGTGAATCTCCCCCACATTTTTGAAGGGGTTTTGTTTCACAATCCTCTCCAGGGTGCGGTTATCTCTCTTGCTTGTACACTTTTTTCGACCACATCTTTTCCTTCCCTTCGCCTCTCTATTAATGTGCTTGGACACTGAGCTCTGTGAACAGCCAGCCTCTTTAGCGATGACCTTTTGTGTCTTGTCCTCCTTGTGCAAGGTGTCGATGGTCGTCTTTTGGACAACTGTCAAGTCAGCAGTCTTCCCCATGATTGTGTAGCCTATAAAACTAGACTGAAAGACCATTTAAAGGCTTTTGCAGGTGGTTTGAGTTAATTAGCTGATTAGAGTGTGGCACCAGGGGCCATCAATTTTTAACCTTTTCACAATATTCTAATTTTCTGATATGATGAATTTGAGATTTTCATTTGTTGTCATTTGTAATCATCAAAATTAAACAAAATAAACATCTGAAATATATGAGTTTGTATGTAATGTATGAATATAATATACAAGTTTCACTTTTTAAATGGAATTACTGAAATCAATCTACTTTTTCATGATATTCTAATTTTATGACCAGCACCTGTAACCAATCCACTTTATTTCTATGGCACATTTAACAACAAAAATGTTTCCAGTGTGCACATCTACATTGCTAAAAATAAAAATAAAGGAACACATTGAAAACACGTCAGATCTCAATGGGGGAAAAATTATGCTGTTTATTTCTACTGATATAGACCGGGTGATGTGTTTGGAACAAAAGGATGCCACATCATTTGATGGAAATGAAAATGATCAACCTACAGAGGGCTGAATTCAAAGATAACAGAGAAAAAATGATGCTGCAGGCAAGTCCATTTTGCTGAAATTTCATTGCAGCAACTCAAAATGGTATTCAGTCATTTGTATGGCCCCTACGTGCGTGTATGCATGCCTGACAACGTCATGGATGCTCCTAATGAGACGATGCATAGTGTCCTGGGGTATCTCCTCTCAGATCTGGACGAGGGTATCGCTGAGCTCCTGGACAGTCTGAGGTGCAACCTGGCGGAGTCGGATGGATGGAAACATAATGTCCCAGAGGTGTTCTATTGGATTTAGGTCAGGCGAGTGTGGGGGGGGAATCAATGGTATCAATTCCTTCATCCTCCAGGAACTGCCTGCATACTCTCGCCACATGAGGCCGGGCATTGTCATGCACCAGGAGGAACCCAGGACCCACTGCACCAGCATAGGGTCTGACAATGGATGCAAGGATTTCATTCTGATACCTAATGGCAGTCAGGGAGCCGTTGTTTAGACTGTTAGGTCTGTGTGTCCCTCCATGGATATGCCTCCCCAGACCAGAGATGGGAAGTAACGAAGTACAAATACTTCGTTACTGTACTCAAGTAGATTTTTCTGATATTTTTACTTTACTTGACAACTTATTTTTATGGCGACTTTTTACTTCTATTCCTTACATTTTAACACAAATATCTGTACTTTCTACTCCTTACATTTTAAAATATTGGCCCGTTACTTTAGTTTTGAATCATTTCAATGGAGTTACCGTTATTATTTTTCACGTCATCAATACCAAATTCATTCTAATTGGATGGGAATCTACATTGCATTTGACGCACCACTACAAGATGAATCGACAGATTCGGCAGTATTCATTCGTGGCAAATCATTGCAGCTTGGTGGCGGTGGCGTTAGCATAGTAGTATGGACGACGAGATGATTGAAAATGAACACAACGGAGATCTAGTCCTATTGGCAGACATCCATTTAAAATGTAGGCAACGGCATGAAAAAAGTGGTTTCTACTTTTACTTTTATACTTTAAGTAAATTTACAAGTCTGTACTTTGTTACTTTTACTTGAGTGAAGAAGTTTAATCAGTACTTCCCCTTTTACCAGAGTATTTTTTAACAAGTATCTGTACTTTTACTCAAGTACGGAAAGTGAGTACTTTTGCCATCTCTGCCCCAGACCATCACTGACCCACCACCAAACCGGTCATGCTAAATGATGTTACAGGCACTAGAGGACGTCGGGCCCTCAGGCCACCCTCATGAAGTCTTTTTCTGATTATTTGGTCAGAGACGTTCACACCAGTGGCCTGCTGGAGGTCATTTTGTAGGGCTCTGGCAGTGCTCCTCCTGCTCCTCCTTGCACAAAGGAGCAGATACCGGTCCTGCTGATGGGTTGTAGACCTTCTACGGCCCTGTCCAGCACTCCTGGAGTAACCACCTGTCTCCTGGAATCTCCTCCATGCTCTTGAGATTGTGCTGGGAGACACAGCAAAACTTCTGGCATGAGCACATATTGATGTGCCATCGAAACATTTTTAAAATGCTATTTACTTGTTCGTCCAGTGGTACGGTTATATGCTGTTATATCTGCGGTTAAACAGTCATATGAAAAAGTTTGGGCACCCCTATTAATCTTAATAATTTTTATTTCTAAATATTTGGGTGTTTAAAACGGCTATTTTAATTCGATATATCTAATAACTGATGGAAACAGTAATATTTCAGTATTGAATTGAGGTTTATTGGACTAACAGAAAATGTTCAATACGCATTGAAACTAAATTTGACAGGTGCAAAAATGTGGGTACCGTAATCATTTTATTGATTTGAACACCATTAACTACTTTTCACTGACTTACTGAAACACACAAAATTGATTTGGTAACTTCATTAAGATCTGAACTTCATAGCCAGGTGTATCAAATCATGAGAAAATGTTTTTAAGGTGGCCGGTTGCAAGTTGTTGTCCTGCTTGAATCTCTGAAGATTCATCATGGGCTCCTCAAAACAACTCTCAAATGATCTGCAAACAAAGATTATTCAACATAGTCGTTCAGGGGAAGGATACAAGAAGTTGTCTCAGAGATTTAAACCTTCAGTTTCCATTGTGAGGAACATAGAGAGGAAATGGAAGACTGCAGGGACAGTTCTAGTTAAGCCCAGAAGTGGCAGGCCAAGAAAAATGTCAGAGAGACAGAGAAGAAGAATGGTGAGAATGGTCAAGGAAAACCCACAGATCACCTCCAACCCACAGACCACCTCCATCCCACAGACCACCTCCAACCCACAGACCACCTCCAACCCACAGACCACCTCCAAAACCTGCAGATGGTGTCACTGTGCATCGTTCAACAATTTAGCACACTGTGCACCAGGAGAAGCTGTATGGGAGAGTGATGCGACAGAAGCACTTTCTGCAAGAACGCCACAAACACAAACGCTTGAGGTTTGCAAAAGCCCATTTGGACACGCCAGCTTCACTTTGGAATAAGGTCCTGTGGACTGATGAAACAAAGACTGAGTTGTTTGTTCATAAAACGGGCGTTATGCAAGAAAACATTGCGTTTCAAGAAAAACATTTACTACCCACTCTAAAATGTGGTGGAGGTTCCATCATGCATTGGGGCTGCGTTGCCAAAGCTGACTCTGGGAATCTTGTTAAAGTTGAGGGTTGCATGGATTCCACTCAATATCACCAGATTCTTGAGAATAATATTCAAGAATCAGTTATGAATTTACGCAGGGGATGGATATTTCAGATGATCCAAAACACCGCTCCATATCCACTCAGGCATTCATGCAGAGGAACAATTACAATGTTCTGGAATGGCCAGACCTGGATATCATTGAACATCTATGGGATGATTTGAAGCAGGCCGTCTGTGCTCAGCGACCATCAAACTTAACTAAACTGGAATTCCCTTCAGCCAGGATCCAGGAACTAAAAATCTACAGGAAGCGACTATAGGCTGTTTTTGCCAAAAGGAGGATCTACTAAATCTAAATGTCCCTTTTTTGCTGAGGTACCTATATTTTTGCACCTGTCAAATTTTGTTTTAATGCGTACTGCATATTTTCTGTTAGTTCAATAAACCTCAATTTAATACTGAAATATTACCGTTTCCATCAGTTATTAGATATATCAAACTGGAATAGCTGCTGCAAACAACCAAATATTTAGAAATAAAAATAATTAAGATTAATAAGGGTGCCCAAACTTATTCATACTAGTCTGCTGGAGGTTTCTTTCTGTTCAAAGGGAGTTTTTGCTCTTCACTGTCACTACAAGCATGCTTAGAGTGAGGGATTGCATCAGAGTCAATGAGATCAACTGGTTGTCCTTAGATAGAAAACTTTGAATCAATTTGACTGGATGATCTGGTGAACTGTAAAGTGCCTTGAGATGACATGTGTTGTGAATCGGCGCTATAGAAATAAACTGAATTGAGGAAGTGAGGGAGAGAAGAAATGCTTCTCACGCTCCAAACACAGCTGCGACCCTCATCTGAAACATTTCTTATCAAATAAATTCAGTTTCTTTCAGAGTTTTAGACTTGGATTAAAACACCTTATGACTTTTTTATATAAACCATTACAACCATTCAAAGGTGCGCGATCGCACGCTGGGTTCGCATGATGTCATCACTGTTGCATCACGTATAAAACAAAAAAATGGAAACCACGGGTTCACCTGGGGAGTTTATTGATCCTAAAGCATTAATGCTCTTTCCCTCTATAAACATCGTTTTCCAGGACACCTCCTTCATACCAGCATTCTAGGGAGGAACTGGGACTAAATCTGATCCTTCAAACAAACATGGATTCTATCAGGAAGCTGCACTGTTGGCTAACTCATGTTAGCATTGTTGACAGGGGCGAATTTAGGAAATTGGGGGCCCTAGGCAAAGACAGGCAGGGGGCCTCTGAATTAAGACGACACATAAAACAGACCCATTCTACAGATAGAGAAATGTTAATAGAATAGACATCCATTATGTGTTCTAGGTTTTGTCCCTCTCTTCTTGTTTTCCTCTCTATGTTTTGTACTCAGCTAACTTTTCATGCAGTCTCTAAAGGAATGAAAGATTTTTTCCAAGCACTAAGCTCACTTAGCTGATTGCTCCTTCCTGTGTGTCCAAAAAGGCAAAAGTAAATAACCCAGTCCTTCTTTTCACTGTAGACAAGCCATGATCTGCTTATCTGTTCTCCATTTTTCATTTGGATGAAATAATAGCTGCATGAATCATGACAGCAGACAAGATAGAGGAGAGCAGGAGGCAGGGTTACCAATCTACTTGCTCTGGAGAGCAGAGTTTGCTGCTTTTAGATGTGCTTTTAATGTGTTGTCAAAGTCTCTAGTAGCAGAAACAAGTTGCTAGATTTGGCGCTAGGAGCTTTTTGAAATCAAAGTAGTAAAGGGGTCTGAAAAGTCGCTAAATATATTGACCAAAGAGCTAAGCTGGCAACACTGCTTTTTGCATCGTTTGTTTTCAAATGGTTTGCTGCTGTCTGTTTGGACCTTTCTGAGCATGTGCAACAAATGGACTGATCCAATATGGTGGACACCGAGAGACACTTGATATTATAAGCGTTCTGATGACATTTTAGCGAAAGGATTTTTATCAAAAACATAATTAATGTGTTAAAATAAGGAATAGTTGTATGAACCATTCATGTAAACAGGGTTTTATGGGCCCCCAGAAACTTGGGGCCCTAGGCAACTGCCTAGTATTGCCTAATGGTAAATCTCTGCAATTGCTGATTTACAGCAAAGTTTAATTTGTTAAGTTTCTTCTACAGCAAACAGCTGAAAGCAGCGTTAGCAGAATTAGGAGGAAAACTGTACTTTTCCAGCATTAGTGAATCACTAATGTTACCGAGAACAAATATAAACAACCAGAAGTTCATCTGATTAAGATCAAATGTATTACCTTCACTTGACCCAATTCTGTAAAATGATGTCACAGCGCACTTAGCTTGGCCCACATCCACTGAGTAATTCCACACAGCGCCAGTTTAGAGATGCTTCCTGTACAGGATGGAGATGTTGAGCTAATGACGTCCAGATGGTCAAAGCTAAGGTAGATGGTCTGCAGCCGCAGCTGCTGCGCCTCATCATGAAACGCACATTTAGCTCCATTTGGCTCCGCCGCTCCATGTTCACTCATTGCCTGAAGCGGCTTCCTGTTTACGGCCACTAATCAGACAAACCTTTCAGCCGCGGCGCCCTTTGCTGTGGATGAAACAGCATTTGATAAGAACCAGGAAATCTCTGCCCAAGTGGCACGACTCAGAGACGTGTGGAGTGAAAAGTTCAAACTGACCTTGATAGTGAAGGAAAACCCCTCAGTCTGCTAAAGGAAAAGTCTGAGTTCAAACTCCTGAAAGTACTTTAAATATGAAATTATTACAAACTGTTCAATAAATGATCAGTGTTTTTAATTAAGAGTAATTTTCATTTGAATGTGCTTTACTGGAGGCATCCATGTTTTTCAAAGAACACTACTGCCACCTACTGGTTTGTGACGTCACGGTGCGGTATCGGCTGTTGATCAAGTCCCAGTGCTGTATCTGGTGTTTGTCACAACGCGCTATTATCCAAGTCATCGTGAAAACATTCTTCTTCCAAATGTTGGCTACATATTACGGGTTTTTTCTCTGGCCAGAAGATGCCAGGATTGAGGTGTTACTATATTTGGGCAAAAATTGCCGCTCCCAGACTCAGTGATCACTCCCAGAAATAATATTTTTTTACTGATTAACTCTAAATTCATGAAATCCCCACAAATGAATTAGTTTTAGGTATAAATAATGGCGACGCTGCATTTAGGTTTTTAACAGCTGAAATCTGAGTCCACCTCCTCTGTTTTAGGTTGGTTTTTATTTCTTAACATAGATGGCTTCCTTCACATTGCTCTCAAACCAATTATCTTCTGTTCAAAATGTGAACATTCTGGTCCAAAAGAACGTCCTCTGATCATAAGGTGTAGATGCACCTCAGAGTCTTAGAGGGGATGGACTCACATTTCAGCTTTCAAAACCTACAATTCATTAATGGAGTTTATTCCTTCCCGCTATCATCTCAACCCCAACTCCTTTACAGAGAAACAGAAGACCTCGCCTGTTCAGCCAGGCCAACAATTCCCTTTCAGAGACATAGACAGGTATGGGGCATTACAGGCTAACAAAGAAGCCAAACGACCCCCATTCCAAAGGACTGAACCCGTTCATTTTGTATGTTTTCTAAACTAAAAACAGGCTTTTTTTTTTTGTGGTCCACCCTATAAAGCTTGGAACTAAACTCTATTTCTGACATTTGAATTGAAAAAGCATCCTGGATGGGAAGCGAGGTTGTTTTTCCTTTTTTGGAATGACTCTGACCTGTAGGACTGAGAATCTTCATCAGCAGATAGTGGGACAGTTTCTAACAGGGTGAGCGTTCAAAGGAGACTGGCAGACATCTTTGTGAAGAAGCCTGATCAGCTGAGCCTGATCCTCCTCTGGTTCCTGAAGCTCACAGAGGGTCACTGTCTGGATTTACATGGTATCTGTCATCCTGAGCTCCTCTGATGGCTAAAGTTCAAAGTTTAGATTCAGAGGTGTTTGAGGTTCTAATAACTCATCAGTTTAATTAAATTCAATTCAGTTTATTTCTATAGCGCCAATTAACAACACATTTCATCTCAAGGCACTTTCCAGTTCACCAGATCATTCCAACCAACTGATTCAAAGTTTTCTATCTAGGGAAACCCAGTTGATTGCATAGACTCCTTGACTCTTCAGCAATCCCACACACTAAGCATGCTTGTAGTGACAGTGGAGAGGAAAAACTCCCTTTGAACAGGAAGAAACCTCCAGCAGAACAAGGCTCAGTGTGAGCGACCATCTGCTGAGTTCGACTGGGGTTCATTTATTGATGTTCTCTGATCATGTATGTCCTCGTCTGTCCTGCTGGTGTTTCTAAACATGGTGGACCTGCTGCGTAGGTCCAACCAGAACACAGCAGAGGTTAACCTCAGAGCTACGCAGCAGCTGCAGAGAACAGAACCATTAGATCCAGTCCATCTGCTGCTCACCTGTACTGCTCCAGCAGCTGCACCGCCTGGTGCTCCTGGGGATGCCTCCTCATGTGGCTCTTCAGACTGTTCATGTTGGTGGTGGCAAAATCACAGCTGCAGCATCTGGCAGACAGAAGGAAACAGGAAGAAGAACAGAGGATGGTTAAAGGAGATTCGTTCTCAGGGTCACATTGATGATTTATGTTTATTTCCAAAGTCTTAAATCCCCCTGAAAATTAGAACATCATCGTTGTTCAATGCTGTAGCACACGGATTGTTTACACTGCGACCGGTCTAACTAGGAAGTACCAATATGGCGGCTGGTGGCTTCGCTTAAACCCCGTACTACCAACAGGTAATTAGCAATCCAGCGAATAAATAGAGATTAGTCGTCAGCTTTAGGAGACCTGGCAAACGGTCTGATGAAGACGCCACCTACTGGGTGGGAGGATGAAACTTGCAGCAATCTCGTTCAGTTCTTTTATTTCTTTTTTAATAATTAGAGAGTCCAGATGTTCCTCTCAACTGACAGAAGAAACAAGCCAGAGCTGTACGATGCTATATATATGGTTCGATTCACATGATGAATGAAAGAATCGTCACCATGACAGTCTGATCGCTGAGCTCGGCTAATCCTGCCTGGTAGTTTTAGTCTTGGGACTGAAATAATTCATGACAATAACCCATTATTGAAAGACTCGTCAACTAATTTAGTAATCGATTAATCGTTAACTGAAGTATCGTTAGCTAAAAATTATTGCGTTTTTTTTTTTTTTTTTTACTGATTAACATTAAATTCATTAAAAAATTATAATGATCCATTGATTATTCCTTGCAGAGCGGATTTCTCTTTTAAGGAGGACAAGCATCAACCAGTAAAAACATGGCGTCTGCTTTGAACGAACCATTAAGGCCAATTTATGCTTCTGAGACATAGCCTATGCAACCGTCAACTCTGTCTCTGTAAGCAACCAAGCCTCCCATGCGGACGTTCTGCAACAGTCGTCATGCACGTCAAAAAAATTCTGACTACGCGTCAGACGGTCGCAAACCCCCGTAGACCTCAAGCGAAAGTTCGCAGACCGAAAGAAGCTGTGATTGGTCCTTGGTATGCCTTTCCGGCTGTCTGTTTGGTCATTCTTCTCGATTCTGTCCCAGGGTGCGCCATTTTTATAAACCTGGGAACAACTTCAACGAAAGGTTAATCGAGGAGGTTCGGAGGTACAATCACTTGTACGATGCCTCAGACAAATCATATAAAGATAACAAGGTCTCAGCCAAAACGAAGTTCTTGTGACCATCCGCTGAAGGTCACCCGAGTTCTCCAATAGGCTCCCCCTTCCGCTTTGGCGGGAAACTGCTGTGCGTCCCTAGAAATTCCAGACCGACGGTGCAGAAGCATAGCAGCAAAAGTGGTTCGCGACCAGACCTAAGCGACATTTGATGTGTGCGGTTGAAGAAGTCTAATCTGCCCGTTACACTTTCTGATTGCTTATATTAGCCTATTATTGTACCTTAACCTAATATTGTACCTAAAAATGATCTCATGTCCTCATTGTGACATTTACACATCTAATTAAGTAGAAATACTTCCCATAATCGGGACAAAAGTAATTTTGAAACAAAGACAAAATCATAGCTGCATTCCAGCTCAAAATGCAGCAAAGTGTTTCACAGAATCTAAACATCTAGACTGGGTGCCAAGGTGTGCATCCTGTCAAACATTCCTAACTAAAAGTCTTGCACTCCTCAAATATTGATTATTGCTGCTGTGTTTTGTTCTCCTTTGTCAGGTTTAAATAATCTGCTTTTAAGGAATTGGACATTTCTTGTTAAAAAAACAAAACATGGGAGCTCAGATTGCAGATGCCTGCAGAAAAACCTGAAAGCTTTCCTCAAGATTAATGAGCATTTGCTGACATCTAGAGGTTCTTTGGAGTATTGCCACTTTCACTTCGATTTTTAACAGGACTTCAGCTAAAAAAAAAGGAAAATCACACATCTTTAAAACACAAAAATAAAAACAAATCACTATTTTTTTTTTTTTACAGGCTATAGTAGGAAATATCAATTTCATTATATTTCTTTACTTTCATTAATTTTTCCTCAGGCCTCACAGCTGCAGGGCTCCAACGCATATCAACGTATCTGACGTTTTCCAGACAAACTTCCAGCTACTGTATAATGGCGTATTGGCATCATTTGGTATAAAGGGGGTTCATTTAGATTCAGTTTATTTCTATAGCACAAATTCGCAACACATGTCATCTCAAGGAACTTTACAGTTCACCAGATCATCCAGTCAGATTGATTCAAAGTTTTCTATATAAGAAAAACCCGTTGGTTGCGTCGACTCATTGACTCGAAGGCAATCCTTCACACTAAGCATGCTTGTAGCGACAGTGGAGAGGAAAACTCCCTTTTAACAGAAAGAAACCTCCAGCAGAACCAGGCTCAGAGTGAGCGGCTGAACAAACCATCAGTTCTCTTCCAGACTTCATCCCCATCATAGGGTGACCGAGAAGGTGAGTGTGATGGATCCTGTCTGCGTTCAAGCCCACTGCCAACAAAGTTCTTAGCAGACATGACATGTTTTTATGCAGGCCGGGCGCCTCTGGGGAGCAGCTTTAACTAATGCTCCTTAATGCCCATGAAATCATGCTTTACTCTGCCATGCGTTATGCATAAGTTAGGCTGTCATTGGACAAAAGTTCTGGACTCGGTATGAATACGCTATGTATATGGCCAAAATATCAAAAATACATAGAAAGTTCATCATATGCCAGAGTTATAGGAGATTCTGGGAGGTCGGTCATATGCTAGCTAACTCTGCAAGGCGTGACAGGGGCCTGAAGTTTGGACAGAAAAACACTTTCTAGATCAGAACATCGAGCTGATATGATCGGACCTGCTTTCATCTTTCAAAAGATAAAGTGCCAACTGAGTGAATTTCCACCGATCTCCTTTTTTTTAACTGGATTAAACAGTTTAATATTTGTTTCCTACGACAGTCAGGAAATAAGCTACCACTTCAATCAAATGGATCCTATCAACACATCTGAACCCTGAACCAGTCGCTGATTCTGAAACTGTTCAACCAAACCTATGAGGAAACCTGAGCTCCCTCCTTCCACCCCCCTCTGTACTGGACCAGTTAGCATGAGCTCAATGAACAACTGCTGTAGAGACGTCTTCCTCTAAAACAGCTTGTTCCTCTCGGTTGAAAGACTTACCGATACGGTTTGTCCGAGTTGTGGATCCGCCGGTGGTTTCTCACGCCGATGTAGGTGGCGCTGGTGTAGCTGCACACGTCGCATCTGTAGAACTTAGGCTTACCACCATCTGTCAGGACGGACAAAAGGAGAGGATGCTTTCTTCTTCCTGAACAACGGTCATTTAGCGAGGGAAGCGTTCAGTTTCTCACCTTCATCCGTTCCTCGCTCAGATTCCTCCACCGGGGGGATGGTGTCGGTGAGCGGCGCCGTGTCGCTGCTGCAGCTGAGGTGCTCTCTTTCATGACTTCTTAACTGACTCTGGTTAGGGGGAGAAAAAAAGAAAAACACATCTGTAAACCCGCAGGGATATACAAGCATAATAAAATATTAATTTTCATTTCAGTTTATTTCTATAGCGCCAATTCACAGCAAAGGTCACATCAAGGCACTTTTCAGTTCACCAGATCATCCATTCAGATTGATTCAAAGTTTTCTATCTAAGGAAAACCAGTTGATTGCATCGACTCATTGACTCTTCAGCAATCCCTCACACCAAGCATGCTTGTAGCGACAGTGGAGAAGAAAAACTCCCTTTTAGCAGGAAGAAACCTCCATTAGAACCAGGCTCAAAGTGAGCGGCCATCTGCTGAGGCCGACTGGGGTTCAAGGAGACAGAAGCGGCGATACGTTAGTACCGGTATTTCTATTCTTACCTTGTAGTGGAAGGTCTGAGGACAGTGTCTGCACTGGTGCATCCTGGTCTTGCAGTGGTAGATCATGTGGTCTTCCAGGTCCTTACTGTCTGACGCCTTGTGTTCACAGATGGGACACTGGTACGGCGCCCTCTGCCGGTGGACGCGCAAGTGCTGCTTAATGTAGCCCTTATTGCTGCTGCTGTAGTGACACAGACGGCACCGGTACGGCCTCTCGCTGCCCGGGTTGTAGTCCACCAACCCCCCATCAGGTGAGCCAGCCAACCCGTCCTCCACGCCGTTCCCGGGGGCCGCCGCTCCGGCCAGGGCCCCGTTCTGGATCTGGGCATTATCCTGGAGCTCCTTCAATATGTCTTCGTCGGAGGCGTTCTGGTCCGAGCGCTCTCGGAGTCTTTCGATGACGGTGAGCAGCGAAAGGCTGATTCCAGCTTTGGTTGCGGGACTTTCCTCGTCCCCGTCCACGAGGCGCAGCGGCCTGAACTCCTCCTCTTTGCCGTGGCGGCAAAGCTTCAAGTCCAACAGCGCAGTGGTCTGCTCCAAGTCGGACGCCCTCTGTCCGCTCGGAGGAACGCCCTGCATCTTCACGCCAGTTGTAGGGCTGGGGGCGGGCAGCTCCAGCGTCCTCATCGGCATGGCGACCAGAGCCTCAGCGGCCAGAGAGTGGAGGCGAAGGGACTCGGAATGTGTTCGCTTGCGACTGGTTGGGGGGACATTCTCGTCATCTACTGTAGGGAGGGGGGGCTTGGCGGGGAGAGGCTCCTCCTCCTCGTTTACGCAGAGCGCTCTCTGGTCCCTGTCCACGTCTGCGGCGAGGAGGAGAGGCTTCGCCGCCATAACCGAGTCCTCAGCTGAGGGAAGGCGTTCAACGATCACATTGATGTGTCCGACGCTGTTCGGGCCGCTGTTGATGATCTTCTGGGCTGAAGACAGCAGGCTGTCTGCGGCCGAGCTGCCCTCTCTGCCGCCGCCGACCTCCATGTCACAGTCTGCCTCGGTGATCACATGCACCTCCACTGCCGGCTCCTCAGCGCTCACATCTTTAGGGACATAACCATTCTCGGCGTCACCGTCTGCGGTTGTCGCGGAAACGGCCCTGGAGTTAGAGACTGGAGCCGGCGGCATGCAGAGCTGCAGCCTCACGGCAGCTTGGACACTTTTATCATCCAGCCCTGGAGACTGGAGAATGACGACATCCTCTCTTGGCGCTGTGCTGCTGGGGGGGGCTTGGGTCTCCTGTCGTCCTGAAGCGCTGTCCTCCTCCTCGAAGATGGGATAGGAGCAGTCGACGAGGCCGGCGTGCTTCCAGGCGTGGGTCTTGAGCATCCGCTGCTGGCTGCAGACATAGCTGCAGATCAAGCAGCGGTACAGGCCATACTCTTCATAACTGTACCATTTCTTCTTCTTCTGCAGCTCGGTGGAGTCCTCCGCCGCGCTGTTCATCAGCTCCCCGCCCCCATCCCGTTTTAAAAGCGTTCCTTCGGCCGCGCTGAGCGCAGACGCCCCGTCGTCAAAGTGCAGTCTGACATGCGCCTCCAGCAGGTCCTGGTCTCTGGAGGTGAAGTGGCACTCGGAGCACATGAGGATGAGGTCGCTGTGCTGCTCGTCATGCTGCTTCAGGTGCTCCCTGAGCTGCGGCAGCGTCTGGGAGAGGAAGGGACAGAGGCTGCACTGGTAGCACGTCACTGTGCGTTTGTGATCGCTGGGCTTTGAAACGCCTGTCGCCGCCGAGATGCTGTTATTATTATCATCTTCATCATCGCCGCCATCTGCTTTTTCCTCCTCATTAACGTTTATCCTAATCTTCTTTTTAGGAGAACTTGCCAGACTCTGCCTCACCCTCCCAGAGGGGGAGTCCGGATCTTGCCCTCTTTTCCGCCCCCCCAGAGCGCAGTGCCTCTGCGGACGCTTCTCCACTATCTTGCTGAGCTTCTCGATGACCTGGATGAGGGACTCGTCCACCTGTCTTGGCTGGGCGGCGTCCTGAGGCCGGGTCTGGAGGAGAGATGCTGGCGTTCCAGGAGATGAGGACGCAGCGGGTGATGCTGAGGACTTGGAGATGAGGACAGCAACGCTGCTAATCTCATCCATCACCTAGGAGACAGTAGCAAACACACTGGTTCAGTCCTCTGGTTGCTGCACGCTGATGTCATCATTTCTGGAACTTCTAGTAGTGAAAACAAGACGCCAACTGTGATTTTTAACAGTCAGCGAGATTCTGATGAGGAGCTTTGTACAGGCTTGAACTTAAAAGAACCCCAGGGCCTCGAACAAAAAACACTGAGAACCATTTCTGGAGGCTTATCTTTCAGAACCAAGACTTACAGGCCTGGAAAAAGGTTTTTTATTTGTTCAACAAATCAAACTATGTAAATATTTCTAACTTGTTAAACTTAAAGTTACTGAAGTTTAAATCAGAGATAGACGAACAGATAAGGAGTGATGTTATGTGCCGAGGCTTCATTTTTGCTTCATTTGGGGGAGGAGCCCAAATAGATGTCTGAAGCCTTTCTACCCCGCCATACCACGTGAGCGCTTCAGGAAGTAGTTAATCTCGCCCCGAACTTCCACAGGCATTTAAACAGCCTCAGTATTCAGTAAAGATGTGGGAGTTTGTAGTAAACCTGGATAGAGTTTGGATAGATTGTAAGAATAGATTGGAAGGAAAACCAACCAATCTAGTTGGTTAAAACTATTTTGGTTTGGTTAAACAATGTAGTGATCAAAAGCTGAGCAAGCCGCTGGTTACAGTTGTAACATTAGTGATAAGTAGCATTGCTCACTTGACAGCCATCAACTCGCTATTGGCGTCAGCTCTAAGACAGGGACTTCTACCCAGGCGACATTTGATGTGTGCGTTTGGAGAAGTCTCTGAAATCTGCCCTAAAGAAGGGGAATTATTTACACACTGAGAGATTTGCATACGACCACCACGACTGCAAAAAAAATTAAAAATGGTACAGTGTAGACCCGGCTTCAGATTAAAAGGAATAAGGAGACTGTAAAACATTACTGCAGCGGTAAATATATATATATAAAAAAAAAAGATATAAAAACATTTTGCATTTAAGATGAAAAAGTTTTCATCTGTCGAGATGGTCTATCCAGAACAGGTGGAAACATTTTAGTTTCACCTGCTTTAATATCAAAAAGAAATATTCTTTAAGAAACCTTGCCTATCAGATTATTAATGGAAAAATATAATCGAGAGATTAATCGATTTGCAAAATAACCATTAGCTGGTGGCTGAGCTCCTCTCCCTCTCTCTAAGGCAGAACCCAGCCACCCTACAGAGGACACTCATTTCAGCTGCTTAGATCCAGGATCTGGTTCTTTGAGTCATAATCCAGATGAATGACCATAGATGAGGGTAGGAACGTAGACCGACAGCTAAACCAGAACTTTGCCTTTTCTCTCAGAGATGCAGAGTCTGCATTTTAGTAGAAGCCGCACCGATCCCACCATGGATCTCCTCCTCCACTGTTAGTTCAATCTCTAACATTCTGCTCTCTCTGCTTTTTTCTCATAGTAGCTTCATCTGGTCTGTTCCTGTTTGGCTGTGACTCCATCCTGGAGAGAAATATCAGCTGTTCTGCTGCCATCAACACCTTTGTTTATAGATTATGGATATCGGCCTGTTTTCCAGTGTAGTCCTGTTTCTCTGACTGTGACTAACTGGCTGTGCTCTCTTCATCCTCTGACATTGGAGCTGGCTCAGAGCTCGTCTGCCTGGCTGTGTGTTTCCCAGATGGAGCCGCCTTTTACAGCTGCTTTTTGCATCTCTGCTTCTGTCTCCTTCTTTTAATGCTCTTCCTCCATCATCTTTACCATCAACAGGCTGCATCGATGTCTGAAATTCCTCGTTTTCCAACCACTTCTGTTGAAATTTGCATTTTCCCATTCTCTAATTATTTCTCCGCCTTGAGCTTCTTTTACGAAGATACGGCTTTACGATCAACCAGAGGCAATTCTGCGCAAACAAGCGGAACCGGTCATATCTGACAAAATTGTTTTTCTAAATTAAATAAGCATTTCAAATGCAACAATAATCATATTTAATGAATTTTAATGCCAATTAAGGCCTTAATAAAAAAAAATAATTTAATAACATTTATTGACCAGTGGAAACCCTGTTGAACCCCAGTCGGCCTCAGCAGATGGCCGCTCACACTGAGCCTGGTTCTGCTGGAGGTTTCTCCCTGTTAAAAGGGAGTTTTTCCTCTCCACTGTCGCTACAAGCATGCTAAGTGTGAGGGATTGCTTAACTGGTTTTCCTTAGATAGAAAACTTTGAATGAATCTGACTGTATGAACTGGTGAACTGTAAAGTGGCTTGAGATGCCATGTCTTGTGAATTGGTGCTATATAAATAAACTGAAAGTGTTTTTATCCGTATTTTTTCCCCACGTGCTGCTGTCTCATACTACCCAGACTAATCTGCACTTGTCTAATGAATGTTTTGCTTTGCAATCGACCTCCCTGGATAAGCAGAACAGTTTAATCCATTCCTGATAAGGGTTTCCCGCTGAAACACGTGCTTCTGTTTACAATCTGAGCTTTGAGGAACCGATGAGCTTCAGATTCCTTTCATCTCTACTATCCAACACTTTCTCCAGTTCCCCTCCTCTGACCGCAGCCCTGCTTCCTCTTTCTCCGCTTCTGAAGCAGCGAGAGGAAGGAGAGCATGAGGAGGGAGAGAGCAGCTCCATCAGCCCGTCCTCTGACCCTCACAGGGACACCTGTTATGTCAGGGTCTAAAAATATTTCCTCCACCAGCCTGTGGGGGAGGGGGGTGGGGGGCTCCGCTGAGCTAACAGGCTAAACGGACACGGACCAAAGTGGGTTTTTATTTCCGGTGATTTTAGGATTAAAAGCAGAGAAGTGGAGCAGACAGCGTTAGCTGGACAGCTGCTATCCACACACTGCTAACAGCTCAACACATCAATGTTCAACAAGGACATCTGGCTCTGCTCGCCGCTAAAGGGCGACAGAGGAGCACGAGGCGACACGTGACGGAAAAACCAACTCACCGACAGACACGGCGCGTGCTCTTTGTCCTCAGCGCATAAAACTCTGCGGTTTGTGCTCGTTAGCCATAAAAATAGACTATTCTCTTTCTATAGCACATTGCAAAATGGCGAGGATGGAATATCGGTCACGTGACCTGGAGTTTGGGTCAGGTGACCAACGCCTCTTTAGGTGTTGCTCGTAAACGGCGGCTCTTTTCGCCAAGAAGAAAATCCCATCCCAGTCAGAAAGACCCAAACCTACGGAAGAGGAGTAGGGCCACTGAACAAATAAAAATAAGTTAACTGATTTTTTTATTTTATTTTAGTATGAGAAAAAAGGCAGAATACTGACTTTAATCATAATTCTGACTGAATTCTGACAGCTAGCACACTTCCATTAATGAAATAGCATTACCCCCTCAGACATGTAAAAAGTCACCTAATTGCCTCATTTTCCACCAATGTGTTCCTGTTCCTCCCAAACGTCTCTCATCTTTGTCAGTGAAGCCAAGTGCTCCGACATCTCTTCCTTCATGGTGCCTATGTGTATTAATTAAAATTCTGAGATTAAAGTCAGAATTCTGAGATTAATGTCAGAATTCTGACTTTTTTCCATATTAAACTAAAATAATATTTAAAAATCAGTTAACTTTTTAAAGTTTTTTCAGTGGCCCTAATCCTCCTTCATACAAACCAACAGTTAGGCAAATGTCAGTTCAAAACCTCTGAAGCAGTGTCCCAAAATTGCAGATTATCATTAATTGTAAAAAAAACAAATAAAAAACAAAGAAAGATTTTGTTCTTTTCATGTTAGAAGTGATCAATTGTAGCGCTCAGACTTCAAAAAAACAAAAACAAAATCAACATAATAGTGAAAACTGCAGAAAAGTATCTTGAAGTCAGAGATTTAAACTGGGAAATGGTTGAAAGTATGATGGGAAAACGAGTAGGACCATCAGAAACTGGCAGAGTGACAATAACTCAAAGATAAATTAGAAATTATGAGGACAAATTTAATTAAGTATTTATTATGTTGGGTTAGGTTAAACAGTTCGTAAAAATATTATTATATTTTTATATATATATTTCTTATGGGAGTGAGTCTTGTTTCCTGTTTCCTTGTTTAACTCCTTATCAGTTGGTGGCAGACTGGCAGTGATGCACTTTTAACTAGTTTGCCAACGGTCATAAAACCTTACAAGAAGAAGAAGAATGTGGCTCTTTTTTGTTCAGAAATAATCTCCAGAAGCTTCCTGATGAAGCGCAGCTAATCTCAGAGGTTTTACTTTCCAGCAGGACTTGGAAGATATCCAAAAGTCACTGAAATGTTACTTAGCCTAAGTGGCCATGGAGCCTCAGAGGTTCACGAGCACCTCTGCAGAACCACAGGCTCATGGCCTCCAGGCACTGATGGAGAAATCGAGTGCTTAAAGTTTACATCACGTGGATTTTATGAAGTTTTTTCAATTGCATTGGAATGAAATATCAGCTTTATAGATGTTGGAGATCTGCCTGTTTTTCAGTGTAGTCCTGTTTCTCTGACTGTGACTAACTGGATGTGCTCTCTTCATCCTCTGTCATGGGAACTGGCTCGGAGCTCGTCCGCCTGGCTGTGTTTTTCCTGGACGGGGCCGCCTTTTACAGCTGCTTTTTGTATCTCTGCTTCTGTCTCCTTGAACCCCAGTCGGCCTCAGCAGATGGCCGCTCACACTAAGCCTGGTTCTGCTGGAGGTTTCTTCCTGGTAAAAGGGAGTATTTCCTCTCCACTGTCGCTACAAGCATGCTTAGTGTGAGGGATTGCCTTCAAGTCAATGAGTCAATGCAGTCAACCTTGAATAAATTTGACTGGATGATCTGGTTGAACTGTAAAGTGCCTTGAGACAACGTGTGTTGTGTACTGTTGCTATAGAAATAAACTTAATTTAATTTAATTAAAAAAGAACAGAAAAGCTAACAAAAAGAAGACATTAACATTTTTGATTGCCATGTTTCTCCGGTTTGTCAATGGGTTAACAGTTCAGTTTAATTGAACTGTTAACCCACTCTCCCTGTGCAGTTCCTCAGTGCTGGTTCCTCATCTTTTCCTGGCTTCCCATGTATGTTTTCCCTGATGTCTCCAGGGTTCTGGTTTTTCTGTATTTGTTATGTTGGATTTTTGGATTCCTGCCTCAGTTGCCAGTGAGTACTTCACTAAATCTACAAAACTCACCTCTGCTTCCTAACATCAACCCAACCTTGACAAAGAGAGGAAGGGAAATATATTATATGGAGCAAATTACAGCCAAACTACAGATGAAAAGGGACATATTTAAGAAGAAAATGGTCCTTAATTTAATTTAATTTACAGCTTCATTGGGTCTGTTTAAATTGTGACTCCTATGGGAATGTTTGTCTGTATAATACACTTCTTTGAATCAAGGAAAAACTGCATTGTATAGGATTTATTGTACAAGTGTCTGCATATATAAACTGTCTTACTGTGATAAAACACTTAAAACAGATGAGTTCTGATTCAGTTTTCATGTCAGAGGATGAAAGAGAGCACATCCAATTAGCCACAGTAAAAGCTGAGCCCATAGCTATGTCTAGGAGAGAAACAGGACTAAACGCTGGAAAACAGACCCATGTCCAACATCTATTAACAAAGGTGTTGATGGCAGCAGCACAGCTGATATTTTTCTCCAGAATGCAGTCACAGCCAAACAGGAACAGACCAGATGAAGCTACTATGAGAAAACGATAATGGCTCTCTACAACTAAAGTCAACAACAACAATAACCCACTACCTTATGAAAAAAAAAAAAAAAAAAAAAGAATCTAAGGAAATCAGGGAAAACATACTTATTCCTTTTTTTCTTTCTCTTCATCTGTACTCCCAAAACGTTTAAAAAATTTTTTCTTTTTTTTCTCCCCATCTTCTCTATTTCCTTGATACAAACAAGTAAATGCTTGTAATTTTGATTAAAAAAAATGGAAAAGGGATAGAAAAGGAAACCCTATCCTCTACCTAAACCCTTTGGTCAGTGTCTATAACAAAAAATGGCATGCAATGTAATATATTGAGGCATTTTTTATTTGTTCTGATCACCAGAGTACAACTGAAATTGCAGAGAGAGCATAAAGTTGGGTGTTGAACTAACAAATACTGCGGAATGAGAGGGGACAAATAAAATGATCCAGAATAAGAAGGCGTCCCTATGTCCTCCAGCAGTCTAAGCCTATAGCAGCACAGCTATAGAGCTAGCTCTGGATAACCTGAGCCACTCTAACTATAAGCTTTATCAAAGAGGACATTTTTAAGCCTCACCTTAAAAGTAGGCAGGCTTGGACAAGCTGTTTATTGCTTTTTATTTGAGATCTTAGTTGATTAGGCACATTCTTAATTCCCTGTGTTATACATGTATAAAATGAAAAAGAAATATTGAACTCTTTCATATGGTTTTGAGCTGTTCTTGTATTTCGTTTTATAGTCAGTGTTTTATCTTATTATGGTTGTCTGGGTGATTGTTTTATTGCTCTCTTGTTATTTCTAGCTGTACGACAGATTGAGCTACGGGGACAATAAAGACTCCTTGAACCATAAACCTTGTTTCTGGATTGTTGGAAGAAATTATTTGCTCTTCGATGAAGGCTGTTCTTGGGCAGAGTTAGGAAGACCAGATCACTGAGATGAAACAAGCCCCACTTTCTTATGTTCTTCAGGTTCCACTTGAAAATGGTTATTTAATTTTAAGCAAATTTGCAAAATATAAAGGAACCTTACAAAGCAAGGGGGAAAAAGAAAAAGAAAAGTATTTTTATAGAAATCTCTCCAACAATGTTTTTTTAGTTTGAGGATGATGCCTCATATGTGTCCTGGGGGGAAAAATTAAGTCCGGAGCTGAGAGAAAAGACATGAAGGCCCTTAGTGTTCTCAGCACAGCTTCTGTGACCATATAAGGCAGCAAAGAAAGACTAGCAGATTGAAGCCTGGATAAAGCAAGGTATGTTTAAAGAAGAGCTTCTCAGCAGGGCTTTACTGTACAACCTAACACTGCCATCTAGTGTTTATTTATCTGTATTGAGCATAAGATGAAAACTGCTGACCTGAAAGAGGCAATTCCTTCAGGTATTACACCTTAACTATAACTGCAGCTAAGTGGTGCAGAAGTGTGACTGAACTTATTTCGTGATATTATTTCTGTGGTGGAATCTGCTTAAATTTAATGTCTAACATAGTTAGTTTGTAATTAAGTCTAAACGGAAACAGCTTAAACTAAATGTATTTTATTAGTTTTATTTATAACACCTTTCCTCTGTTGGTAAAAGCTTGTAGGTTTGGAATAAACGGAATGTAAACCACATTTAAAATAAACTTAATGTCAAAAACATCCTTGGTTCCAATCTAAAACTTTGATCAAAGAAAGTCAAGATGTCAGAAAAGAGAACAGATGATCATTTAATTATTTTTTTTTATGTGTGGATTCTTTCTCTCAGTAACTCTAAAACTGTGTGCCTTGCATCAAGAAGGTTCTGGGTTTGATTCCCGGCCCAGGGTCTTTCAGCATGGAGTTTGCATGTTCTCCCTGAGCATGCGTGGGTTCTCTCCGGGTACTCCAGCTTCCTCCCACAGTCCAAAAACAGGACTGTTAGGTTAATTGGCTTCTCTAATTCTCCTTAGGTGTGAGTGTGTGCATGAATGGTTGTCTGTCCTGTTTGTCTCTGTGTTTCCCTGCAATGGACTGCCAACCTGGAGATAGACACCAGCATCGCTCAGGACCCCGCTTGGGATAAGTGTAATGGAAAAATGATGGATGGATGGATGGATATTAAAATTAAAGTGATTTTTTTCCTTCTATGTTCATTCAGTTGCTAGATCATAGATAAATAGAGCTGCATCATAAAAAAAACATAAGTAAAAAAGGAAACATAAACTAAATTTTGCACAAAAAGAAGAATATATATATATATATATATATATATATATATATATATATATATATATATATATATATATATATATATATATATATATATATATATATGAGAGAGAGAGAGGCTGTAGTTTTTTTTACCCCTTTTACTGTCCCTGGGAGTCTGTTTCTACCCCAACCAGATAAGGCTCAGTCTGAATAGCTGAAATTGGTAAGGACGAAGGTAAGCATTGGCGGACGTGCATCCATGGTCACCAGA